CATTTTCGAAGAAGTTCTTTCAGAAAAAGGAATTGTAAGTTTGGTCAATAGATCAATTATAAATATAAGTTGCCAATTCCGTAATTAACATATTCTGGATGAAATTTTTAGGTAATAAAAAGCAAACCCAGGATTCTAATTGAAACAATTACAATTGACAATTTAGTATATAAAGATATCCAAAAAGTCAATAAAGTAAGTTCATAATGTAATTTATTATTATTATTTTTTTTTTTTGGAATAATTTTGAATTTAATAATAATAAACAATAATTTAAAAACGATTATAAGAAACTTGAAGAAGCTACTACAAACGGAGAAGAATTAGTTGTGTGCATCCTCGATAAAAAAACAACTGGCGATAAGTCTTTATATGCAGTGGTCAAGAGGACTTGCCTAACAACTGGAGTAATTTCTCAATGTTTTCTTTGGTCATCTTTTATCGACAAAAAGGGAGAGCATGAAAATAAAATAAGAAATGTTTTTAGTATGATCGCACCTAAGCTAAATACTAAATTAGGTGGGGTCAACTGTTCATTATCTGAAGAACTAAATTTTAATTCGAAAAAGGTAAAAAAATATGTTGATGTTTATACATTTATAAAAAAAAATTTTTGAGATTAAAATTTTTCAATTCCATTTAATTTAATTTTTATTACAGGCAATGATAATGGGCGCCGATGTATATCATCCAGGACCTGTAGAGAAAGCTAACGGTCACCCCAGCGTGGCTGCAGTGTGTGCATCAATGAATTCTGATGCCACAAAATACGCGGCTCGTTATAGATTAAATGAAATCTTAAAAAATGAAACAATTGAAGAACTAAGTGAAATGACCAAAGAACTACTTGATGAATTCAAGAAACGAAATGAATATCTTCCAGATCATATTATTTTTTATCGGGATGGTGTAGCCGAAGGACAATTTGAAAAGATTATGAAAGAAGAAGTAAAAGTTCTGAAAGATTCCCTCCATGATTTTTATGATGAAAGTGATATTCAAGAACCTAAAATAACTTTCTTGATTATGCAAAAACGGCACCACACGAGGTAAATTTTTGTTTTACATCTTATTCTCGCAAAATTAAATTTAAAAATCAAAACATGTTTTTCTTTTTTTTTTTTTAGATTTGCACCCGTAAATAAAGAAGAAGCAAACCCTGACACTGGAAATTCACTTCCTGGAACTATAATTGATTTGAAAATTGTGGTTGCAGACGAATTTAGTTTCTGTAAGCAAAAAAAAAAATATATATATTTTTTTTATTTTTATTTTTTAGCAAAATTCACTTCTAATTATATAAATATCATATATATTGTAGTTCTTTTGAGTCAAGCATTGGTTCAAAAAGGTACGACCGCCCGTTCCGCATATTATCGGATTTTATTAAATGAAGGAGATTTTACCGCTGATGAAATTCAACAATTAACCTATAATCTTTGTTACTTATCAGCAAGGTAATTTATTATTATTATATTTATAATTATTCATATATTTTTTTTTTATATATTTCAAATTAGAGATTTTTAAACATTTTATATAATTCTTTTTTTTTCTCTTATAGGTGTAGCGTATCTATATCACAAGTAGCTCCTGCATGCTATGCCCATCATATAGCAAATCAAGCGAGATATCTTGTAGATTTTTTACCGTATAATGTTGCCAATGCAAATCGTGGTAATGGTTATAGACGTGGAGGTCGTGGAGGTCTTGGTGGTGGGCGAGTAGGTGTAAATAATAGTAGTCATCAAAAAAGACCACTTGTTAGAAATGGAAGTTGGGTTCGCGTGATGAAAGACATTGAGAATAAGATGTGGTTCCTTTAAAAAACACTTAAATTTATTTATTTATTTTTTTCAACATGTATTCATATATATAGTTATACATATAGTTTAAGTTTTTTGGCATTTTTCATTTTTTTTTCATTTTTTTCAAAAAAAAAAAAAAAAATTTCATTCACTATAAAAAAAAAATCATTCATTAATCTTTCATATATATTTATCATATAAATAGATACATCAATATTATTAAATAAAAAAAAAAAAAAAAAATTATAAAATTATTTATCGAAAAAATCTTGGGTCATTCAGAATATATTTTAATAATGTCTTGAGAATGTCAAATATCTTTATATACTCTAAAGATTAACTTCCGTAATATTAAAACCCATAAGATATATCTAAAGAAAATATAATTCACGGGTTTCGGAAGATTTATGAAATCAAGTATATATACAAACTGATATATAAAGTCTTACTCTTGTCTTGTTTGACTTTGTCACATTTTATTTTATTTTTTGATTTTTTTTATTAAGTGGAAGTTGAATGATTGAACAAAAAACGTGGGAAATATTGACCTACACTATGTTTATTTTAATTAGTCTAAATATTTAATGCTATTAACTAATTTTAGGGTAATATTAACTGTTCATTCTTCAACTACGATTATTATTTGTTAACGATCCATTACAAATTTTCAATACAAGATCATTATTATTACGATATTATTGAAGCCTGTAAGTACTTCTCTAGATAATACTTCAATAATGAAGTATATCTAAAACCTTCTTCAGAAATTCCAGTTTCATCAGTTGGTTTAGATAAAGAATATTCTATTGAATTTTTTCTGTATCTTCGAACAAAATGTTCAAAAAATATATTAAAAAGTTTTCTAAACTTCTTTAATATAAATCTGTAAATATTCCCAAAAATATTTCCAACATGAAAATCTTGCTTTTTGTATTAGTCTTTATCAATGTATGCACCAATATAAATTAAGTAAATTAAGTGAGCGTGAGCGTTTTTTTTTTTTTTTAACCATATAAATATGTAATTTCTTTTTTTTATGTATAAAATAACTTTCCCCAATGTTTAAAAAATAAATAAATAAATAAAGGTGTCTTTATCTATCCCAAATTGAGCCTTGGCGTAATATTGATTTGTGGTCGGTGTCACTTTCGCTTTTAGAAAATGCATTTACGTATATATTCCGAAGTTTGTACACACAATTGAACACAATTCACCGTGACACCGTGTAACAAACTCGAACTTTGACAAAAGGGTAAAAAGTGTAAAGACGACGAGAGTGCGAGCGCGATTTCTCGGGATTCTCAGTTTTTTACTTCATAACGAAATTATAATTTTTTTAAAAAAATGTACCCAAGACGAAAGCCGGTCCCTGAGTTTGGAGATTCTTCGTATGTTCCCAAAAATAACAATAATAATAATAATAATAAACCAACAACTAACTTTGAAAGTTATACAAACGATGTTCCAAGGGCTCCTGCAAAGTCTCCACTAAGAAATTCTGGGGCTAGTTTGACGGTTGCAGTTAGTGGAGCAACTCATACCACTATTCTAAAACCTGTTATTAGTACAATGGCAATAACTAACCCTCTTTCAACTTCCAATGATCCTATATTACGATCAAGTCACTCTACAGATTCAGTATATTCATCAAATTCTCCTCCTTCATATGATCGTGATTTTACAACGGTTGAAAAATTGGATTATGAAGAATCCATTATATCAAAAAGGCGTGGTTCTGGAAATAGTCATAGGATATCTTCTACTCCAACTATTACCATAGATAATAATAATAATATTAATTATTCACCACCTTTATCACCAAAAGTTAGATTACCTTCATTAGCAATTGCTAGTGATCTGTTGGCTAGTTCTGAGGCAATGCTATCATCATCTTCTTCTTCATCTTCTACAAAATTTACACCTGGAACAGTTTTATTAGATACCACAGATGAAATGTTGATGCAATTATTAATTTCTCAGGCAGTAATTGATGCAAAAGATTTTGAAATTTTAAGTTTGGAAGAAGTTGGGGAATTGAAGAGGGTACGAATTTGTGAATTTATGTTATTATTATTATTTTTTTTTTTTTGATATTGATATAATCAATCAAATCAATATTTATTTTTATTTTTATTTTTTATTCGAATTTTTTTTTTTTTTTTTTTTTTTACAATTTCTTTTTATCGTTTATAGGATCATTCATTATTGACAACACGTATCACAGCTCTTACATCTAAATTATCGCTTGAATCAAAGATTCGAGAAGCTGCAAGTTCTCTTGCTCGACTTCATGCTTCAAATAAGAGATTATCAAGGCAAGCAACCGATCATCTTTCACAGGCAAATAGGAAAGTTGATCAGGTTGCTACTGAACTTTGGAAGTTAACTCAGAGGGCTGGAGAAGTCCAAAGAAGATTATTACAACATATGGCCGGAATTCTTTGTATGGGATTTCGTAAATTAGAAGAAAATCAAGCTCAATTAATACCACAGAATCCTGCACAAAATTCATCATCAGAGGGTACGAACGGAACGAATGGAATTGATAATTTATTTAATGAAATTATGGGAATGAATGACAAAGGATCTGATCCCGCATTATTAGGAAAAGTGACAAATTTAGAAAATTCACTTCATACAGCACATCAAACTCTAGCAGATGCTAGATTGGCATTAAAACGTAAAGATAAAGAAATCGAAGAATTAAAACAAAAAGTTGATGAAACTGCCGCTGAGATAAGAGAAAGAACCATTGCTGAATTAAGGAGTGAGTTGGAAGAGGTCGGAAGTCGATTGGATATAATTCTCAGAAAACATAAAGCTAACAATCGACAGAGGGATTCGAATTTTGATTTCGAAGAATCGGCGGAACCAGATTATAGAGGATCATTTTATCGATTATCAACGATGACAACAGCGACGCAACATTTACAGAAGGAACAATATAAAAACATATCAGATAACTTGGGTGAATTGGAAAAGGCATTAGAAGGTCATGTGTTCCGTTTATATAAATTAGAACAGGAATTAAATTCAATTAAAAATAATTCCGATGATGATACCAAATCATTACAACAAAATAATAATGTACAAGAGGATTTAGAACGGTTAAAAGAGGAAAATGAATCTAGAAGAAAGAAAATTGAAACGATGGAAATTGAATTAATTGAATTACGAATCAAGGTTAAACAAGTAGAAGATCTAGAATTACAGGTCAAAGAGATGGAAGCTACCCGTAATGAGCTTGAAGAAACTAAATTAAAATTATTCGAAATCGAATCAAAAGCCGATAATGCGATATCTAAAGTAGAAAATACTAATTTAAAGCAAAATAATTTATTACAAGAATTGGAGGATGAGAGAGAAAAATTGACGGCTGCCAAAGAGAAGATAAGAAAATATGAAGCCATACTTAAAAGACAATCAGTTATTCAGATTGTAGATAATGGAACTTCAATTAAAGAAGAATTTCAACAACAATTAGCTGCGCAGGAACAAGAATACGAAGCACAAATAAAAGAGAGTGAAATCACCATATCTAAATTGAGAAAGGATCTGCAGAAAGTTAATACCGAAAAAGATAATATTTCACAGGTGGTTAGAGATTTGGAAGATATGTTGAAATCTAAATCTAGAACTTTAGATCAAAAAGAAGGTACAATATATAAGTTAGAAGGAGAAGTTGTAAAATGCAAATCAGATCTTGAAGAATTGAAAACGTCTTTAAGATATAATAAAATTGGTGGTGGTGGTGGTGGTGGATCTGGTGACAAAAAGGTTTCATCAAACGAAGTAGAGGAGAAACTCAGAGTACAACTAGATGAAGCACTTGAAGAAGTGAAACAATTAAAATTAATAAAAGAAAATCTTGAATTAAAAATACAGAAACTTGATGAAACGATAGCTACTGCTCAACACGAATTTTCAATACGTGAAAAATCACTCGAGAAAGGTTCTGATGCATTACATAAGGAATTGGATGCCGCACTTCGAGAATTTGATAGATTAACGAAAAATTTCATGGACTTTGATGAAGAAAGAATAAAGTTACAATCCAATATAGATAAATTACAAAAGAAATGTGAACAACTTGAAAATGAATTATCAGACGAAAAGATTAATCATATAGGAAATGGTTCAAATAATAATGGTAATGCATCCACGGTTGCATTAAGAAAAGAATTTCGAAAGATGATCGGAGACTTAAAAATTGAACATAAAAAAGAATTAGAGTATGAGATAGAGGAGAAAAAGAAGTTGGAAGCTACATTGAGAAATAATAAGCGAGAAAAAGAAGCTAAAAAATGGGACGCGGATACTAAGGGTACTCAAACCAGATGTATTATTAGTGTTGGATAACGAATAATTATAACTATTAATTTATAAATTAAGAATTAAATTATTTATTTATTTATTTATTTATTTATTTTATTTTTATTTTTATTTATTTATTTTTATTTTTATTTTTATTTTATTTTTATTTTATTTTACTTATTACTTTATTTATTATTTTTCTTGAAACTATAATGTAAAATAGTAACGTTCGTGTATTTTAGCATTCAAGATATATCTTTAAAAAAATTAAAATTATTAAAATTATTTATTTATTATTTCGGCGCATTAAAAATATGAAAAATGAATGATTTTTTATTTACGAGAAAGTATTTTTTTTTTATATGTAAAGTATCATTACTACATACAGTGCATTCTTTATTTTTCTTTTTCTTTCGTCTATTTTAGTTTCTTAATTAAAGTAGGTGGCTCAGAGACCATTCCACCATACAAACTGATGAGGTCCTTCAAAATTTGATATCATATTTTTTTCAATCAAACCTTTTACTTTCGTTCATCACTGCCACCTATATTTTTTAAAAATTTAAAAAATATATGTATAGATTTATATATAAATAATATATATATATAATCTAGTCTTCATTTATTGTATCAAAAAATTTGATTATCTGATTTGGCTAAAATTCATCATTTCCTTTGGAAAATAAAAATAATAATGTAGTGATTCTCCAAAGGATTAGCATTCTCTCAAAAGAACAAAAGAAAAAGCCAAGTCGTTTTTTTATATCTCAAAAATCACGAGATGCCTTTGATTTGATTGGTCCATCATGAAGCAGGTGATCCTAGAAATTCACATTGAAGGTTTACGTAATTGTAAGATTAAAAGTTGAGAAAATTTTTATTCACATGTTAACATTTATAAAAGTTTTCTTAAACTTATCATTTTTTATTCAAGGTTAACCATTAACCACTTGATCACTTGAGAATATAATTTTTTTCATTAAAAGAAAGCATTTGCTGTGATATTTGTTGTTTTTTATTTTTAATATGTTGAAAATTGAATAGAAATTTGTGGTAGTTCTTCTAATCCGAGGTAAAATAGTATACAGATAAAAGTTTTGAGAATTCCATTTATTATAATATCCTTCCAAATTGCTGTATAAATTCTCCTTCCGTTTGTATTCTCAAATTGATCATCTACACCATAAGGTGCTAAAGTTTTTAACATTCTTAAATAAATGAACTCATTACGGAATAAAAATAAATTACTTCGTTTTCAATTTTTTTTTTTGGCTAAAACATTACTCATTTTTAATTGTTACGTTACTTCTGCATCAAAAATGTCAACAATTACGTAACCAATATAATACAAATAGGTGTCCCCGTTTTTCTTTCTAAATAAAATAAAATAAAAAATGACTACAGCATTTTATAACCGTTTATCAAACGATCTTACTCGACTTCTTGAAAATCCTATTGATTACAATGTCACAATTTAAGTTGTTAAAGCACCAAGTAACCAAATTTTTAAACTTCATTCTTACATTTTACAATCTCGTAATACTTATTTTAAAATGAAATTTGATGAAATTCCGTTCAACGAGAATCATATTTCTACTAATTTATTTAATCTCATTACATTATAAAGAAAGTATAATTTTTGTAAATTTTAATAAAATTTTTTAATAAATTATTCATAAATAAAATAATATAAATAATATAATTTAGGTACATTTATGGTGGAACAATTTCGTTGGAAAAATTAGAAAACTCAATTGTTTTTGATCTCTTGATTGTTTCTCATTTATTTGATCTCGATGAATTAGTTGAGTATCTCCAAACTCATCTCGTTACCAACAATGCCTCATGGTTAAGGCTAAATTTTTCTCACGTTTATCAAACAAGTTATCATAAAAACTTTGAGATAATTCAAAAATTTTTGTAATAATATAATTCCCAAGCATCCTAATATTCTTTTTGAGTCAGAGAATTTTAATTTTCTACCCGAAGATGTATTAATTTCCATTATTAAATTAGATGATTTACAATTGGAAGAAGATAAAATCTGGGATTACGTAATTCAATGGGGAAAGGCTAAAAAATCCAAATTTCCCAGCAAATCTTAATGAATGGACAATTGATGATTTCTTAACTTTAAAAACAATTTTGAAACATTGTTTTCCTCATATTAGGTATTTCAATATTTCAAGCGAGCAAATAATAGAAAAGTCTTATTCATATCAACAACTTTTTGAATCTAAACTGTGGTCAGACATCAATATTAAATTCCTAGCTCCTAATAAACCAATATCTTCAATAATATTGCCACCTCGAAAAATCATAAGTTCAACACTTCCCACTAGTAGTACTACTACAATTCCTTCTAATATTATTACTTATAAGCTTGCATTAGAAATTTCATCTTGGATTGATAAAAAAGAAACTGCTTATACTGAATTCAATCCATATGAATTTAAATTGCTTGTTAGAGGAAGTAGAGATGGTTTTGATGCTAAAACTATTTATGAAATTTGTGATAAGTTATCAAACACAGTTATTATTTTAAAAGTGGAAGATACTGGTGAAATCATTGGTGGTTATAATCCTCTTGAAATATTTAATAATACTATTGGATGGAATTTTAGCAAAGATAGTTTTGTATTTTCATTGAAATTTGAAAATCTGAAAAATTCCATTGTAAGTAGAGTAAAAGATAATCCCGCTATTTGTTATTATTCAGCCAGTTCATACTGTTTTGGTAGTGCATTATGTTTATGTGGAAATTTAAAGACTGTGAAGGATAGCTTTTGTGATACTGATTATTATGAAAAGTCAATTCGTTTTGACACAAGTGGATTTTCAGTCGAAGAATTTGAAGTATTCAAAATTTCACCAAATAATAATTATAGCATTACCTATTTGTATTATCTAATTGACTTATGCATTAATAAATTTTTTAATCTTCTATTTATTAAAAACTAGTTATACTGTGCAAATAATAATTTGGCGAGTAGAGTGCGTCAACCGTTTTAAATATAATTATTAATAAATAGACAGAATGCAGTAAAGATAAAAGTCAGAGTGCAAGATTTAAAACTAAATTTAGTTGCGGGTTGATAGCAAAATATTTATTATCAGTGATATTTACGGAATAAAAATAAAATATCCTTGTTATTATTTTTGCGACAGTTTATTTTCATGCATTAAATATAAAAAAATGACTATAAATTTTATTACCATTATCAAATGACCTTATAGCAGTGCATTAAATTTACGGGATAATTTAAAAACTGGGTAGTAGATTTTCGGCACAAAATATTATGAAAAACCGAATTCGTTCTAATCGTTGTTTTTCAACTGAAGTATTTGATGTGATATTATAAAACTTATAAAAATATTGATCTTTTTTATTTTTGTAGATTGAAAAAATGTTGAAAATATAAATTTGAATGATTTAAATGAAAACAATATAAAGGTAATTATTATTAATATTTATTTTTTTTTAAAAAAAATTTCTAATAAATTTATCTGCGACATTGTTCTTTTTCTACTGGATCTCAAAATTATACAACTCAGCGATATTATCTATTGAATGTACGAATATAATATTTAATCCTACAGCAAGTTATTGCACCAATTCACATTTATGTCAACAAATTCATCAACGCATCAAATATTCAGGACCTCAAAACAATTTATCTTCGATTTGAACGTGATCGAAATATATGAATATTTAGAAATATTCGAAAGATCGAAAATGGATATTAGAAAGATGTAGATTATTATTTTCTATTTCTCTTTTCGTTCATTCTCTTCTTTCCTCACATCTTTCTCCATATATAATTTATATATATGCACTTAGAATTAGATTTTATATGAATTTAAATTATAAAATTGATTAAATTAAGGTTCACTTATTATATGCACATGAATTTACAAGAGGTTTCTATTATTATTTTAAAATTGTTTATAGAAATATTTATTAAAATATGATTTTATTCAATAAAGTAAAAAAAACACGAAATTTTATTATAATTTTTAAAATTTCAAATAAACAAAATAATCCTTTTAAAAAAGGATCACTTTAAAAAATTAAATTAAAATGGTATTTGACATACTAATATATTTTTAATTGTAATTTTTTCGATCTACCTAACGTACGGAGATGAAGACAAAAGCAACAATAAATTTTAATTATTGTTTTTATTCATGTTTACAAATTAATATTAACAAAAATAATAATTACCCACGAATTTTCAATTTTTTCATGTACATGTATATGCCAATGACATTGAGGTGGTTACTCTAAAAAAAAAATTTATTAAATAACAAATTATCAAAAACATGTGGTGCAAACTGGTCACCACTAAGCAAAATTAAACTTTGCCCACGTAAATTTGAACTTTAGAGAATTACCTTTTTTTCTGCGGCTAATTTCATGTAATTCAGTGTTACTTCTTATTTTACTTCTAACTGTAATTTAAATGTTCCAATTTTGATTCCAATTATTCTTATTCACAAAAAAAAAATGACTACAAAATTTTATGACCGTTTATCAAACGACATTAGTCAACTTCTTGAAAATCCTATTGATCATAATATCACAATTGAAGTTGGTGAAGCACCAATTAACCAAATTTTTAAAGCTCATTCTTACATTTTACAATCTCGTAACTATTTTAAAAATAAATTTGACGAAAAAACTCCGTTCAACGAAAATCATGTCAAAGAATTAAAAATGCCTAATATTTCTGTTAAAGTATTTAATTCCATTATCAAGTAAGCATGATTCTAGAATAAATTTTTTGATTAAAAAAATTATAATAAATTAATTAATAATTTTTTTTAATTATATAATGATAATGTGTATTTAGGTACATTTATGGTGGAACAATTTCATTAGAAAAATTAGAAAATTCAAATATTTTCGACCTCTTGATTGCTTCTCTTGAACTTGATCTCGATGAATTAGTTGAACATCTCCAAACTTATCTCGTTACCAACAATGCTTCTTGGTTAAAACTAAATTTTGCACAAGTTTATCAAACAAGTTATAATAAAAACTTTAAGATAATTCGTAATTTTTGTAATAATATAATTTCCAAACATCCTAATATTATTTTTGAATCAGAGAATTTTAATTCTCTTCCCGAAGATGTATTAATTTCCATCATTAAATTAGATGATTTGCAACTGGAAGAAGATAAAATTTGGGATTACGTAATTAAATGGGGAAAGGCTAAAAATACAAATTTACCAGCAAATCTTAATGAATGGACAAGTGATAATTTCTTAACTTTAAAAACTACTTTGAAGCATTGTTTTCCTCATATTAGGTATTTTAATATTTCAAGCGAGCAAGTAGTAGAAAAGCTTTATCCATACCAACAACTTTTTGAATCTAAACTGTGGTCAGACATCAATATTAAATTCCTAGCTCCTAATAAACCAATATCTTCAACAATATTACCACCTCGAAAAATTATAAGTTCAACACTTCCCACTAGAACTACTATAATTCCTTCTAATATTATTTCTAATGAGCACACCTTGGAAATTTCATCTTGGATTGATAGAAAAGAAACTCCTTATACTGAAAACAATCCATATGAATTTAAATTACTTGTTAGAGGAAGTAGAGATGGTTTTGATGTTAAAACTATTTATGAAATTTGTAATAAAATATCAAATACAGTTATTGTTTTAAAAGTGAAAGATACTGGGGAAATCCTTGGTGGTTATAATCCTCTTGAAATTAAGATCATTAATGGGCTAGGAGAATACTTTTATAGTGAAGATAGTTTCATATTTTCATTGAAAACTGAAAATCTGAAGAATTCCATTGTAAGTAGAGTGACATATTTTGAAAGTGCAATTTATTATTCTTATGTCCCAAGATATTTTGATTTTGGTGAAGCGTTAAATTTACATGATAATTTAAAAACTCAGAAGAATAGCTATTGTAGTTCAGGGTATTATGAAAAACCAATTCGTTTTGGTACAAGTAAATTTTCAGTTGAAGAATTTGAAATTTTCAAAATTTCACCATTGAAATAATTAAAGAATTATATTCTATTGATATTTTGTTGTTATTTTGTGCAAATAAAAATATTCATCTTTTTATCATGTAAATTAAGTAAAGATATAATTTAAATGTTTATTATTTTATTTAAAAAAATCATAGTAAATTTGATCATCTTATTTTTTTTTTGTAAAATGTTGAAAATATATCAAATGGATTATTATATTTTTAAGAATTTATTGGTAGAACACGAGTAAATAATTTGATAAAAAATAAAGTAAAAACTGATTAAACAAAACATGATAATAAATAAATGTATTCTTATATAAAATAGATAACATTGAAAAAACAATTTTTTTTTGTTAAATTACCATGTGCAATATTGCATGAATATGTTATTTAATAAAAGAGTTTTCCTTAAGAACTAATTTTTTTTTTTTAGTAAAACTATTTTTTCTTCTTTTTTAGAAATTTATTTTTTTTCTACTAATTTTGTTCAATTATTTGTTTTAACATTTTTGTTCTTTTCTTTCTTTCAACATTATTTTTTGTACTAATTATCTTTCGTACTCTACTAACAGTAAATCTTTTAATGTAGTTATTTTTATTAACTTCTTTTCTTTTTTTATCATTTTTTTTTCTTTGTAAGTTCTTTTATTAACCATTTGTTCTATGATTTTTGTACTATTTTTTTTATGATTTCTTTTAATCTAACTTGATTGTTATTTTTGTAAATTGAGCTTTCTTTTTTTTTTTTTTTGCAGGCCAGACGAGTTATGTTGAACATCTTCATCATGCAACTTGGGTATTATTAGAATTCTTCCTAAAAGAGGTTGAATACAGTATTGTAAGACTATTTCGATTGATTCAATATTATCATATATATAATATATGTACTTAAAATGATAGGTGACAAATAAACCAACCCGTGCTAACGTTTAACTTTGCAGAAATAGAAATATTCTTGCAGAATTTAATGATTCTTTTAAGTATAAGTTTGTATTTTATTAGATTTGAGATAAGAAATATTAAATATAATAATTTTTACGTATTTGATAAAATACTTAGCAAATTTAGCAAATTTAGTAATAATAATAAATAAATCATACTATCATTGTATGTATGCATTATATCATAATCAGGTGAGTCTACTATTTCGGAAATTCTGAAGAATAAGGGAATGTATTTGTACTTTGACTGTGTTACATTCGTTAAGGTGACAGATTTTTTTTTTCCGCATAAAGTTTAACTACTACATACATAGTTAAGGTTTTGATTTACAAGAAATTTTTCCTCTCTTCTTGATTCCCAAAAATCTTTTATTATTAAAATTAATTTTTTGTATCATCATGGACAATTATACTCAAACCCAAAGAATAAAAACAAAAAGAAAATCTTCCTTAAGTTCCGATAATAATAATAATAATAATAATAATAACAATAATAATAACAATAATAACAATAACAATAATAATAGAAATACCTGGTCAACTAAGGGTATTCCTTCTAAATCCAATGGCAATAAAGAAGTAAATGAAGTAAATAACCGTAATAAGTGCAATTGCAAATATGTTTCGGGTATTCATCAAAAGCTTGAAGATATTTCCTTTTTTTTAAAAAAAAAAAAAAACTGTTGTTTTTTTTTCTAATTTAGGTAATGACAATTAAAAAAAAAATTATGTATTTATAAAAGTTTTTTTATTTTAAATCATTAAATAGGTAAATTCGCATGCGGGGTCAATTCTTTGTGTTCTAATAGGACACAATTTATCGAATGCACACCTTTATTATGTACGTGTGGACCAAATTGTCAAAATCGAAGGTATAGATTTTTCAAGATTTCAATGGGTTCGAAATCGAAATTATTTTTTATTATCTAAAAGTAATATATTAATATATATTAACTAGTTTAATTCTTTGATTCTAATTTTTTAATAATAATGATGACGATAAGTTTTCAAAACCAAACGAGTTCTTCATTTAGCATATTTAAATCATTGACAAAATATTTCGGATTAAAAGCTCTTGTGCCGATAAAAAAGTTTGTTGTTCATTTTTAAATTATTAAATTATTAAACTATCAAATTATTAAATTATCAAATAATTAAATTATCAAATTATTAAATTATCAAATCAATAAATTATTAAATAATTCGAAGAAAAAACTATTTTATTATCTATTTTCGATAATAAATTTATTTATTTTTTTGTTATAATAGGGGAACATTTATAGTGGAATTTTTTAATGAAACTCCATTAGAAAAAGATAAATTGGATCACAACCTTGATAGTTATATAAAAGAAGGGTTGTGGCGTACCCATTTTTCACCCTCCGAGGCGAACGAGGTATGAAAGAATAAACCAAATATTATAGTAGATATTAAACTCATATTATGTATATATATATAGAATATTTACTAAAGCTCACCGCCGGTACTAAGCAAAATTACATAACTAACTTTGTCCAATGGTAACAATCACTGGCGGTGATCTTTATTTAGCAATTTTCATATTTCATATTTATATTTATAATTTATATTCATATTCATTTTATTGATTTTATTATATATTCATTTTAGGTGCTCGATACCTCAAATAAAAATCATCTCTCGCGATATATCGGTCATTCGCGAGATGCAAATTGTAATCTTCAAATTTGGCTTGTGGGGGATCAAACAAAAAAAGGAGCTTTCGCAAAAAGAGATATACCAAAAGGTGAAGAACTTACAATAGATTATTCAGTTTCGGCCATCGGGTAATTATTTTATTATCGATCTCATTTATTTTTATTGATTATTTTATATTCTATTATTATTATTATTATTATTATTATTATTATTATTATTATTACTGTTAACGTTATAAAGATTTATTAAAAATTTAATCTATTGTTGTCGTAATAATATTTTTAAGATATAAAATAACTCATTCCCCTGAACTTCGTTATGGTGCCGATAAATTTTACCTGGGAGAAATTCGTCCAATAAATGATGATGTTTCGGATATGCTCAACTTTATTGGGCATATGTTACAAGCCTCATATCGTTCTGAATTAGTGACAAAAGTAATGAATATGCTTGAGGTAATAATAATAATAATTCGTCACATCATCTGTTAATGTTTTTTTTTTAAAAAAAAAAAATAATTTAAATTTATTAAAATTCATTTAAAATTCATTTAAAATTCATTAAAACTCTTGTACGTTTCATTTTTTTTTATAAAGATAACCTCGAATAACATTATAAAACAAATAATGATTAATAATGGAGGATTGCTTATAATAAAATCATATATAAACGAAAAAACAACTTCTAGAAACATGGCGAAGGTTTTTTTTTTTTTTTTTAATAAGTAATTTTTGTATTCTTTCAAAAATATTCTAAATAAATTATTATAAATTATTTACGTTACTTGCAGATATTAGATGTTTTGTATAAAGTACAATTTCCGAACAAAGAAATTATAATTAATTCCGAGATAGAAGAGAGTATACGTAAATTCAAAACTCGCGATGAAGAAATACTGAGGGCCATAAAAAGAGTAATTTATTTCCTTTAATATTTCTTAAATATTTCTTAATCATTTCTTTAATCATTTTTTTTTAATTATTAAATATTTGTAACCTATTAATATAATAATATTATTAGTTGCGAAAAAAGTGGGATGAACTTCCTGATCAAGAGTGGGCTGATAATCAAGAGTGGGGTGCTTCGAACAAAGATTGGGTTGCTGCTTTTAATATTCCTGAAATTGATATGACTTCAGAGAGGGAGAGAGAGGGAGAGAGAGAAAGGAATGAAGAACATAAAGAACATAAAGATTATAAAGAACGTAAAGAAGATTATAGAGAACGTAAAGAATATAATGAACGTAAAGAAGATTATAGAGAACGTAAAGAAGATTATAGAGAACGTAAAGAAGATTATAAAGAACGTAAAGATTATAAAGAATATAATAAAGAACACAAGGGATATAAAGATAAAAAGGTAACAATTCATTTTATGGCGTTAAACAATCATTTCTTATATTTGATAATTGTTTAAATATTCATTAATATTGACATCATTATTGATATATAAATATATATAGAATTTTAGTTCGAATAATCTCGGTATTTCAAATAAAAGAGGAAAAATGAAGGTAATTTTATTGTTAAATTGTTGTTAAATTATTGTTTTGTTGTTATGCAATGCTTTAAATTCACCAGTTATATTCATTACATCTATCATATTTACAGGAAGTTGAAAAATCTGCATCACCATCTTCTACCAGCAGCAGGCAAATTGAAAATCCATTACCGTCGTCGCCGCCACCACCTCCACCAATATCATTTGACGATCCATATCATCATCATCATCATCATCGCGAATTAAATAATGGTCATCATCGCCTTGTACAAACTTCTACAGAGAAAAATAAAAATCGTAACGAAATTCACCCTGATAATATTAACGATGTTGATGCATTATTAACCGAGACAGCGAAATCATTAATCGAATTATCTACGCGTGCCACCACCACCACTTCTAATGACGGTGACGTTAACGATGACGACAATGATAACAATAACGATAACAATAACGATTATAATGACAATAATAACAATAATAATAATGATTACGATATGTCTAATGTTCGTTCTTTAAATAAGCAACAATTTCGGGAAAAGGTAAATAATCATTTGATAATAATTAATTAATTATTTTTAAGTTTATTAATGTATTCATATATTATATCACATTTCAATAAATAAAATAAATAATATTAATATTAATAATAATATTAATAATATTATTATTTTTAGTTCACATCAATTGTGAAAGAAGAATGTGAACAATATAGAGTTCTAATGGATGAAATGACGTTTAGTAAACATAAAGAACGGGTAAGTTTAAATTCCATATTTTCATTACGTTTATAATTATAATTATTATTATTATTATAATTATTTTATTCATTAATTTATTTATTTAATTCATGCCTGAATTTCTTATTATTCAAAAAAAAAAGTGCATTAATATGTTATACGATAAAGAATTACGATTCTTTGATAAAGAAGCACGACGAAAAGATTTCAGTTCCGACGTTATAACTTATATGAATAGCATTCGATCTCGAGTTTCCAAGTTCTTGGATGATTACATGAATAAATTAGCAAAAAAAGAAAAGGAATGTAAAGAATCATCATCATTAAAAGAACCAAGGGAGGAAGAATCAAAAGAATCGAAAGGGGATGGTGATACCAATGCTTCTTCTAATAGTATTTCTCCTTCTAACAATACTATTACTTCTTCTTATAATACTATTACTTCTTCTGGTGTAAAGAGAGAACTCGATGAAGATGAAGGAGACGAACAAGACAACAAAAGATATAAAATATAATTTTGTTATTTTATGTATATATTACATATATGTCTATATATATGAATATTATTTTTTTCTGTATTCACGATACTGTTACGTATTATTATTTTTATATATTATTATTTTTTATATATTTTTATATATTATTTTTTAGATATTATTTTTTTACATATTATTATATTATTATTTTTACATATTATTTTTACACTATTTCATCTTTAGTAAAATATACATACTTTTTAAGAAGATTAAATATCATAAAGATTTTTTTGAAAAAAAAAATCACATTTAATCTGAAATTTTTTTTTTTTGCCAAAATTGAAATATATATATATATATACATACATTTATTTATTTTATTTATAAAATGAAATCAAAAAACAACAAATTCACATTTTCATAAATCAACCAAAATATCAACAATTTCACTACAATTTCCTTAATTGTGTAATTCTTAAAAACATCATCATTCATATACATTTATTTACACCCTATTTTTATATATATATTATTTATATACATTTAAATATATATATATATATACACATTACTAGACACACATATTTATATAACTCCTATATTTGACTCTTATGTAATTTATATATATATCACTCTTATAAATTATAATATAACTTTGATTTTACTATTTTTTTTAAAAAAAATTTAATGTAAATAATATTAATTACCATCACTAATTCATATATATAATATATTTATAGAAATTACAAAATGATATGTAAATAAAATATAGATATTGGGTTATTTACTTTTTATTCCTTTTTTTTTTTTAGTTTTATATTTTATTAGTAGTATAGAAGATTGGATAAATTTTTAATGATAAATATTTATTTATTTACTTTTTGGGAAGATGAATTTTATTATTATTATTTTGGAGTTAAATCTCATAAAAGATAACAAAATACAATAAATAGAAGATTTAATAATACTTTCATATAACACTTAAAATGCATACCGTATTTACTTTATAATTCCTTAATCACCTTTGATGCGTTTCTTATTAAAAAAAAGTGGTGTATTTCATTAGTTATAAGTGTTTTTTAATTATATTTTATCTTACATTATAATAAAACAAACCAATAAAGAAAGAAAAGAAATAAAGAAAATAATAGTTACCAAGCTTGTCGGTATCAATTTACAATTCCTCTTACCAAAAAGTTTTCAAACAATGAAATAGTGAACATCATAATAAAAGGTAATAAAAGTTCAAAAATAATTAATAATTATAAATGAACGACTATCACATTGAACGCTAGTCCAAGCTGGACCGGACCGGATGGAGGCTGAACCGGTTCGACTCGAGAGTTTAAAGTCATCAGTTTAGCTTCAAGTCAGACTTTAATTGCTCCAAGTCGATGGGGGTGGGGTTAATGGGTCGAATAAAATCACATTATTTAATATATTTTATTAATTTAAAAAAAATTATTTTTCTAATATCATTGCTTCGACTTGAAGCCAAATCAAAACCAAACCGTTAAACTAAACTAGTTTTATTAATTATATTGATCCCCATCAACCTCATTGCGTTAATTTCAGTTTTATTTAATTTTATTAATTCCATCAACCCATCGGTTTGAATGGTTAGCAGTTAGGTCCAGCTTGGTTTGATTTGTATTTCAAGTCGATTAAGTTCGGTTTGACTTTGGACCAAGCTGACCGTTAACAGCACTAGCGACGTTAAAAATTAGTAATATCCTTACCACATGATTTGCTGCTATAATTGTTAAGTTCCGCAGTAAGTATTGCGAAATTTATGTAAAATAGATTAAGTTTATTTAAATTAGTTAAAAAAAAAAAGAAATGAAAGTTAAGGAAAGATTAAAAAGGTCATTTATGATATTATAAACGAATAATTATAAAAATACAGAATATATTTGGATTATTCGTCATTTAGCACCGTTAATAATTACTCTGTGATTTATATAATATTGCTTCTTTGTATTGGGATAGTTTTTTATTAAAAAGGTCTTACTAAAAGTTATTTGATAACATATTGCGTACAGTAAGTTTTTATGACGAATATTCTTTGATAACAATAATAATATTTTAAGGCTGATTTAAAGGATATAGAAATGATGGAATTTATTTTAATAAAAATTGTGAAATATTTTTATATAAAAAAAGAAAAACAAAAGACATAAATATAATTAAAAAATTTTAACTTCCTTTAATTGTATAATATATATGTTAAAAATAAAATTATTTTAGTAATGCTTTAATTATTCAATGGAGAAATTTTGAAAACTTCAAAATTCTTCAGCTGAAAACCGATCTTCAATGGAACGAATTGGTTTTTCATAATATCTTGAACCGACAAAGCTACTCCTCCGGTTTTTAAATTACCAAGTAAATTTAATCATAACAAAAATCCAAATATGACCTACTTGAATTTGAACCATAATAAATTGTAAGTTCACTCTACTTACAATGGAATTTTCAGATTTTCAATGAAAATGCAAACTAAACTATCTTTACTATAAAAAGATTGTTCATTAATATTACTGTATATATCTCAAGAGGATTATAATCACCATTGATTTCCCCAGTGTCTTCCACTTTTAAAACAATAACCGTGTGTGATACTCTATTACAAATTTCCAAATAGTTTTAACATTAAACCCATCTCTATTCCCTCTAACAAGCGATTTAAATTGATATGGATTGTTTTCAGTATAAGGAGTTTCTTTTCTAACAATCCAAGATGAAATTTTCAAGGCGTGCTCATTAAAATAATATTAAAAGGAATTGCAGTAAACTTATGATTTATATTGGTTTGTAACTTGATATCTGACCACAGTTTAGATTTAAAAAGTTGTTGGTATGGATAAAATTTTTCTACCAAATACTCACTTGAAACATTGAAATACCTAAATTGAGGAAAACAATGTTTTAAAGTTAAGAAATTATCACTTGTCCATTCATTAAGATTAGCTGGGAAAGTTGGATTCTTAGCCCTCCAATCCTAGGTTTTCTCTTCTAATTGCAAATTATCTAATTTAATAATGGAAATTAATACATCTTCGGGAAGAGAATTAAAATTCTCTGATTCAAATAATATTAGAATGTTTGGAAATTATATTACTACAAAATTTTTGAATTATCTTTATAAATAAATTTAAATATTCCCAATCATCTTATAAAATTATATTTACATATTTATAAATATAATTAATTATCTTTAAATATTCCCGATCCTCCTAGATTAGAGGTGCGATCCGGATCGATCCGCGTGATCCGTAATCCGTGTTACCATCAAATTTTCAATCTGTCATCCGTTATATAGTCAATCTGATCAATCCGTGGATTATCCGCGGATTGGACGGATTGATCCGCGGATTATGCAAATCATCCGTCCAATCCGTGAATCATCCGTCCAATCCGTGGATCATCCGTCCAATCCGCGGATCATCCATCAATCCGCGGATTATCCGTCCAATCCGTGAATTATTTTTTTCCCGTAGAAAATAAATTATAATTATTTACATCAAATAGAGAGATTTCGATAACCTGTAATCCAATTTTAGCGATTTAGAGCTCATTCGATTCCCCTCATCGAGGCAAACATTTTGGTAATTGTTTCATCCAGATTGGACATCTCTACGCCATGTTATTAAATAAAATATGCTTAATCAGTAATAAAATTCTTTTATAATTATCCACATCAAATATCGATTTCAATAACCTGTGATCCAATTTTTGCGAATTATAGCTCATTCGATTTCCCTCACTGAGGAGAACATTTTGGTAGTTGTTTCATCCAGATTGGACATCTCTATGCCATGTTATTAAATAAAATATGCATAATTAATAATAAAATTCTTTTATAATTATCCACATCAAATATCAATTTCAATAACCTGTGATCCAATTTTTGCGATTTATAGCTCATTTGATTCCTCTCGTTGAGGCGAACATTTTGGTAGTTATTTCATCCGGATCGGACATCTCTACGGCAAGTTATTAAATAAATACATGCTTAAATTCATTATAATTATTCACATCAAATAGTGATTTCAATAACCTGTGATCCAATTTTAGCGATTTATAGCTCATTAGATTCCTCTCATTGAGGCGAATATTTTCGTAGTTGTTTCATCCAGATCGGACATCTCTACACCAAGTTATTAAATAAAACACTTGCTTAAAGATAAAATTCTATT